AAAAATACATACAAGTCAATATTGTTAGATGAAAACATAGACTAAGATTTGGAGGGAAAATTAAATTCGTAACATACTGCGAAAGGACATGCGCAATGGCTGCACCGCTCACACCCCATTTGCAAACAAATATGAAAATCGGGTCCAGAATTATATTTGTCAAATCTCCCGTGACTGTAAGTTCACAGAAAACGGGAAATCCATTTAAATAATTATCATTGCTTTTAAATTTTATAGGTAATGAAGAAAACATAGAAAGGAGACTTTTTTTGTTAATTACCAGTGGCATAGAGAGGAGTTTTAGTATCCTTAAAGCCTCGAAAAACTCCTTGCATTGCCAAGGAAAGAAGAACAGCTGGAGCCCCGAATGATCTTATTGTTAGATATTTTTGTGCAGGGGCCAACATTGGAGATCCCTATCAAAGTAAAATATGTAAGGTGACTTTATCACATTTTGCAAGATAAATATAAATCATTTCACAACTTAAGTAAGTTAGTTAATTAATGCTTACGGATTTCACGCCCATGACACCTAACAAAGGTTTGGCGAGAAGTATAAGGAAGAATGTCTGAAGGAGGCCAAGAACAGAACCAAGAAGAAGTGCAGTTGATGCAGAAGGAATATGACGACGCTCCTTCTTCGATCGAGAAGCATCTAGAGACTTCTTTTGTTCTGCTAATAATAATAATAATTGTGTAATAGGCATTCAAAGAAAAAGAAAAATGACATCAAAAGGAGCCTCAAATTGCAAATATGCCTACCATTTTCTTGAGCTTCTTGTTTTGCACGCGAGTCCTCGTTCGTGGACTGTTCATTTTTATTTGACCCTTTTTCCATGTCATCATTTTTCAAATTCTGACTGTTCATTCTCTCGATGGTGTCTTCCTCGGCCACAAATGAAGTGGTGATGCTAACGAGCGGGAAAATTGTGACTTTTGAGGCTTGATTGAATATAGCTATCGATACTCCCACAGCCGCAATTTCTACTGGACCTGTTTTGAACAGAGTCCAGAAAATTTGTTTTAATAGATAAGGTTATGCTAGTGTAGAAAATTGAAAAATAAAAATTATCATCAAGAAAAAAGCTAAGCTAGCTATTGAGTACATAATATAAGTTTGACATAATGTATAGTACCTAAGTGGCCGATAAATGCAGTGTCGATTAAAGAAGCAATAGGGTCGGCAGCCAATGCCAGGGCCGCAGGGACTGCAATACGCAGTATTTCGATCCCTAACTCGTCTCGTTTGAATACATTGCTAAATTCAGGACATGAAAAAGAAAATACACACACACACATAGNATGTTATATACCTAGCATCTCTGAAGAAAACAAATATTGGGATCTTCGAGTTTTGGGAAGTTGGCGATATCACTTCAGCACCCTCGGCCATAATATCACTTCAATTGGTATATTAAACTGTGTAATTCAAAATGATATACACAGACATCAGGCTTGAACATAGTCCAACCAAAAAATATGAGATAATAGCAGTTTGATTATTATTATTATTATTATTATTATTATTATTATTATTATTACAAAAACAATTGTTTATAAGATTCTAAAGTTGTTTGACTATGCTATTAAACCAATTTACTAATTGTTTTTAAAGAAATTTTTTCATGAGATACAAAAGAAAAAAATAATATTGATGTTAAAATAAATAACTTGAAAGAATTGTTTATAATTATGCAATTTATATTTATTGTGAATTATTATTAGTTGGTATTAGCGTTAATTATTATATAATATAATAGAAAAATACATGATTACACTCAATAGGATGTGTTAATGTGAGAAGTAAAAAACATTAATGATAAATTTTGTAACCGAAAATGGAGAAAAAATTTTAGAAGTTTTATTAAATAAGTTTTCTTAAATGCTATTAGCTAGTAATTATATATATATATAGATATTCATAGTCTATACTTGAGAATCAACTATATATGAGTAAATAAATAATAATGCTCATATATAAGTGAAACAGAATTGCAAAATAAGAAGAGGACTAAGAAGTTTTAGAAAGTAATAGTACTTGCCTCTAACTTGAACAGTTGTATAATATATCCCAGCAAACACGTTTGGAACTTAGTTTTGCTCACATATGATGAAAGTTAATTTGAGCTACCAAAGCAATGAACTCTACCACTTTAAATACCATTTTCTTCATGACGTCACCCAATTGCCTCTTCCAATAAATTCTAAAGGCACACGTCACCAAAGCAAAATACACATAAAGGAGAATTTTCAATTTATGGTGCGATTGTTTATTGTCGAATCAATACACTCCTTTATATGTATGTGTATATTAGTTCAAAAATTAAAAAATCACAACAATTGCATTACAGTCACTGGTCAGGTTGAACCATCCAAGAGAGACATCCAATATCTAATAACTTATAAATGAATTATAACTGAGTAAAACATTAATATCAAATAAAAAAATCGAACTATTGTAGTTTTACTTTATATATAGTTATTTAAATTATGTTTCAGTAAGTTAATATTCTAATTGTATGTTCTTTTTCAATGTCCTCCGGCTGAGATAGTTTGGAAGTTATCTCATGTTCAATGGGAAGGGCCAGCTCAGTTTAATGGCAACTTCAAGCATTGGTGGACTGACCTTTGTCTGCTCAAAGCTGAGAAATCTGACAGGATACAACTCTCTACTTACATTCTTTGGCAACTATGGAAGACAAGGAACTTTTGGGTTTTTCAAAGGATCTGGAGTACCCCGAAAAAAATCATTGTTAACAATGCAGTTAGAGAGTGGTAGGAATTTTTCCTTGTTTGAATCTTGAGTTCCTTGTTTTAGAGTTCAGTTTTTATCATTTTCCTAGCTAGGCAGTTGCAGTGGCTAGTTTAGTTCTGCTTTGGCTTTGTTAGTATTTCTAGTAGGCATGTAACAGGTCTCCGCTTGGTTTGCAGCTGTTACATGTGTCTTTATTTATCATTTGTGTTTCTAGGAAGCTCTTGGCTCTCATTCGATCCATTTTGGATCGTGGTCCTTTGGATCCCGTGTATGTTTGAACTTTATCTATTTATGAGATTATTTATTGTCGTTTCGAAAAAAAAAATTCTAATTGTATGATTGAATTGCTAATGTTGTATGTTATTTGATTTAATATTAATGTTATGCAACTTATTTAAATTTATGATGTAAACAATTTCATTAACATGTGCAAATATATAATTTAATAATTTTATAATGTTATGTGGCTTGCTGGCAGATGCTTTTGTGTGTTCCCGTATGTGGGCGATCACCGAGCATCGTCGATTGTAGGTGCTGCGAGTTGCTCATGTCAGCACCATGTCTGCGAGAAATTTGCACGTCAGCCTGTGCTCATCACTGCTGCTCACGGCTGGTCGCTCTTCCGTCTTCGGCGATTGTCGAGCAACGCCAGGCTCAGCTTCTGCGGAGAACGTCGCGCTCAACCGTCTGCGAGCAAGTCGCACGGCCTCGCAGCTCCCCACGCCAGACCCGTCGCACATATTCGAGGGTTACACCTTGCTCCACTGCCATCATCAAAGGCCGGACCAGCTCGCGATCCTCATGCGCCTGTGCGCGCGGCGTCGCACACTGGTTGTCACCAGGAGATTGGGCAACTGATGTTAAGGTTCGCAGGAGTTCATGTTCTTCGTCTGGATTCCTCCTCGTTTGTCCGACATGCCCGAGAATTTAAAAACATTACATGAATTTACAAATATAAATTCAGGCCATATTAATTGGTTCATAAAGCCCTGCAAAAACAAGTTATTTGCAAGCCCTGTACACAGCCAGTTCACGTATGATCTAATTCGAATCATGCAAATATCGAATTAGCTTGACTCTGATACCAGTTATTGGGTTCTATGAAGAACGTTGATCGATGTGCATTAACGAATTCCTATGTAAATAATCCTAGCACAGCGGATCTAGAGTTAGGATTAAGAACTTACGATTCAAAGTTTTATAGCCGACTCTATACAAACTTACTCGGTATACAAGACCGGATGAACTGAGTACCTTCGAACCTTTTGCTGTATGACTAATCACCATCAGGTAGTGTTCGTGGGCTACGCTAGTCTCGTTCCTCCTTGAAGCTCACGCTCGATGAGATCTTGAGGAAGAAGACAAGAGATCTTGTGTTTTGGAAACACTATCTGTTTATCTCTTTCTTAGGTACTCTCGTTCTTTTCTCTATCTATTTCTCTCAATTTTTGGCCGAGTGTTCTGTTTGAGATTCACGTGTGGAGGCTTCAAGGGACTTGTGTATTTATATACTACAACTGGGATCCAAAGAGGTGTTAAATTTGGACTCCCCATTAGATTAAAAAACTTAGGTTCTAATCCACTTACACCTAACCCACATGAATAATATTTCATTCCACAAAAAGAATTTTATTGAACTTCCAATTTAAATTCAAATTATATTTAGTACATCTCCAATTTTATTGACTTGATTTATCTCTCTCTATGTTTAACATATAACGTCCGTTGTAATGACTGAAAATATAATTAACCAACTTCTTATACCGAAACAAATACCACTCAATTCTTTATTATTATGCCGAAACTCAATCCGCCTGCTGGGCTTGAAATAGTAATCTTTCTTGAGCTCATTGTGGAGACATCATCAACTTGGCAAATCGAGATAGAATGACCATAAACGGAATTTCTAAGTCCTCGAAGCTTGCTTCAGTTTATAAATGGTCCATTTTAACTTACATACTAGATGCTCATGGCCTTTTGCAATAAATCCCCCTGGTTGTTGCATATTGTAGTGCCCCGTTCGTTTTGTATGAACCAGTTCAGCTATTTTATTTGCTTGAGTGCATTGCGTTTCTTATCTGTTAATTGTTTGGTTTAGCTCGACTAATCAGCTAATAGTTTTAATAAGATTAATTAGATGTACTCGTCTAATAAATCAAATAAGCTAATTAAATTGTAGATGTCCTCATCTACTTAAATATTTCCAAGTCTTATCAATCCTTTTGCTAAGTAAATCCGTCCAATCTTTTGTTTAAGTATAACCGGTTCGTGATCCTCTTTTAGCTATTTTTCCAACAAATTTTAAGTTATTTTTCGGCCCTTTTCTCAAAGATTTTTGGCACCAAGTTTTAGATTTGAATTTCAAATATCTTGTAGTCTTGTATGGTAAGCTTCTATCCTCCTAATCTTACCAAATTTTTGGCCCAAACACTCCCTTATCTCCTCATGTGTTGAGCGAATTTAAGCCCCAAGAGAGCTCTCTAATTTCAGCCATAATCCTTATTGTTTGGTAAGCATCACATTAAGATCAATCAAGTGATTTTTCCCCCTCCTGCTCCTCCTTGAAGACTAAGATTTGCCCCCTTAAGCACCTGGTTTCTCTTTCACTTTTCTTCACCAAAAAGCCTCTGCAAGCACTCTTCAAAATTCGAAACATTTTCCCTTGAAGTTCTCCCAAAATAATCTCCTCGCACCATCTTACCGCCGGCGTCCGAGCAGCCCCGAGAACCACCGTGCGCACGACCGAAGCCTTTATGCGAGCACGTAGCTGAGGAGAACCCGATCCACGCCTGAGAGCAGGTGAACCCCAGCCCAGACATGAGAGAGAGCCGAGGTATTTGTGAAAAGCAACCAAGACCCTTGGAGACTCGAGAGCACAATCAAGGGCATGCGTGTCCGAGAATAGCCAAGACCAAGACTTCAGCCCCTAGAATCCGAATTTTTCCTCCCTGCTTGTAGATTCAAGAAGAGATGTAAATTTCAAGCCTTTGCATTAAATCTTTCCCAAGATTTATATGCTCAAAGTGTAATAGGTATTGGGATCAGTGAGGATCTCGTTATGTACAAGTTACAAAGTAAATAGTAACAATAAACATATGTGCAACGGATCTAGAGGTTTAGAGTTGAATAGTTACGGCTTAAAATTTGCAGATTCTGAGTCTTTGTAGATTTCCTCTGTAGGAGATCGTCTGGACTCAAAATTCGTTGGGCTGCCGTATTCTTCTCATCGGACTCGAGAAGCTTGTCGGCAGCCTTGACAGGGAGTAGCGTGCGTGTGTCGCGGGGTCGCTGGAGTATGCGGGGATGTCGCAGGGCTGCGGCAGACTCGCGGAGTTACGGGGCTGCGGCTCGCTGTGGTCGTCCTCGGGCGGACTGCGGCGTCGGGCTGGTCGTCGACGTCGGGTGGCCGACAGTCACGGGGTTGATCATTGGTTGATGATCACGGGGTATCGGTACCTCAATATCTTCTAATGTACATCTCGAACACCTTCTTCAAGTTGTAATGGTGGAACAACAAGACGAAGACAAAGCTCGATTATGGGAACTAGATAGAGAGAGGATAGGGCGGCCGAATTGCATTGCACGATTAGGTCTCTATCTGTTCTCTCTTCTCAATCCCATGAGCTTAATGATGTATTTATAGAACAACAGTAGGGATCCTAAGGAGGCGATGATTTAGGCTCCTTAAGCATTGGGCCTAACTGTGAGCCATGCACACTCTCGCCAATTACTTAAATAATGTTTCGGTCTACTAACGTAAACATTATTGAACTCCCTTATCATCGCCGAAATTATATTTGAGTCTCTAATTATAATTACTCAAATTACCCCCCATGTTTAAGATATAATGTCTATTTATTAAGTCTATTACTGACAATTAAGAATTAATTAATATCCTGTAAACCGAAGCTAGCAACGTTCATCGCATTATTATTATGTCGGAACTTAATCCACCTGCAAGGTTTAACATAACAATCCTTCATCACTTCGGGGACATCATCAAACTGACGCACATGGTGGACGTAAATATTCAAACAGCTCATCGTACATGCAGTACTACTACCCAAAACATCAAGTATGTCGACCCAGTAAATTGAATCTCACTTCCAGCGAATCAATGTAATAGCTACTGCATGTACACGCCTGTTTATATCTTACGGGTTAAGAGAACGCATTAGTTAACCGAGACTGAGTTTGTTTATGACGATCAGTATAAAACAAACTAATACTCTCTGTGATCCTGTTCAATACATAAATGTACTAGTGCAACTAATCAGTCAAGACCAACTGTACAATTGACACTACAACCGTTCTGATGGTTTGTTCATTTCCATCTAGTTTGTGAACCAACAATTCTTGTT